TTGGAGCACCGGACTATAGTTTAAAAACAAACTATGAACAAATTCCTATGCACACTGCACATATCTTATTTTGAAGTAAAAAAACAAATGGGCAAAAATACCTGCATGTGGCCTGCGGGCCGTAGTTTGAGGACACCTGATCTAGAGTATCTGACCAGCCTGCTAATTATTGCACCTTTATTTCCCCATTACATTTGAGTTATTTCCCTTAAATCACACTTTCTCTCAACAAAGATTGTGCACCTTGACCGATGGTGATTGAACTATCTGGTCTTCCGACATGTCAGAGGTGCTTTTGCATCTCTGCTGAGATTTTGGCTAATCTTGATGATAAATTTAAACAAAATGAAATCTTGACTATAATGGTTTCTTATACTCTGGCTCCAAAGAGGAATTTATTTGGGAAACTTAGTCCATTGTGTGCTTCTATCACAGAATATCTGGAACTGGGTAATTTATAATGAACACAATTAATTGGCTCATGGTTCTGGAGGCAGTGAAGTCCAAGATCAAGGTGCCCATCTGGTGAGGGTCTTCTTGCTGCGTCATCCCATGGCAGAAGGGGAAAGAGAGGGCAAGAGATGCACAAAAGAAGGCTGACTTGTCCTTTTATAGGGAACCCTATCCTGTGATAATGGCATGAATCCATTCAGGAGGGCAGAGCCCTCATGGCTTCATCACCCCTCAAAGGTCCCACCTCTTAATAATCTTACAATGGCAATTAAAGTTCAACATGGGTGGGAGGGGGTACAAACATTTAAACAATGGCAGGAAATTAAAATGTATTTTTAAAATTTATCTCTTTGCCTTTATTTGTTTAATCTGACTCTACATATGTTGCAGTTGAAGAAGTATTGACAGCTAAAATTGTCACCCAGTATGAGTGCCTTAGCTCAGTTCTCTGGCTTTAGGTAAAGAACAAAACCTGTGTCTTTGATTTATCTTGCACAAAATGGCTATAATTTCAGAAGTATCAAATTAATGTCACAGGTAACAACTCCTATTAGTCATATTATTAAAACATTCTTTCTTTTGGGATTTTTAGAAATAAAGGCATACATTTTATTCTGTAAAACCTGGGAGAATTACTTTAGGAGAGCATGAATGTGTTGTGATTAAAAACTCTTCCTGATGCTTCCATGTTGGGTTCTAGTAGTTAAAATTCCTGTGGGAGTAGAAAGAGAGCCATAGCTGGGCTGTGACTGCAAAAAGATGTTTTGAGAGAGATTCTGGGGTGCTCTTATGTTAATTGAAGAGAGTTCTGAGACTGATTAGTCATGTCTGCTAAGGGGGCAGGATAGCAGGCCATGGTATGCTTGCTGTATATTTTTAGACTATTTTTTCATGTGATAGCTAACGGTACACTTAGTGCTAACAAGGTGACAGAATTTTATGGTCAAGTGCCTTATATATTTTATTACTTAGACTGAACCATTTGTCATGGCTGTTTTTGTAGATAAAGAGTGGTTGAATAGTACTGTGTTTCCCCGAAAATAAGACAGGGTCTTATATTTATTTTTCCTCAAGAAGATACCCTATGGCTTATTTTCAGAGGATGTGTTATTTTTTTTTTTTAACAATCTACATTGTCTGTAGTACAACAATCTACATTTATTCAAATATAGTTAAGTCATCTTCTTCTGGAACATCATCATAACTCTCCAAACCCTGAGATCCATCTTGAATTTCTTACGACTCTATTTCCTTTAGAACCATTGGCCCCAATCTCTCATGTCAAGCAGTAGAGCTCTCATTAAATGAGCAGCTCTTATCCATGAAACCTGCGCATCTTCTTTACTGCTCCACAACGAAATGCATGGGTTGTGCAGATACACTGCATAGCCACGCCCATCACTAGCTCTTATTTTCAGGGTAGGGCTTATATTGTGCAACTGCCTAGAAATCCTGCTAGGGCTTATTTTATGGGTAGGTCTCTTATTTTCGGGGAAACACGGTAGCATTTTCATATGATTCAATTTAATAGTAATCTATTTTAATCCTCACAAAAATTCTGTAAGGAAGAAATTCTTCTTATCCTGTTTGACAGTTAAGGATGCTATGGCACAGAGGGGTTGAATGGCTTAGCCGAGGTCAGACACCTTGTCAGTGGTAAACTGCAACGCTGGCCTCAGCAGTCAGGCCACCAAGGCTCTCAGCTTCCTGTCCTGGCAACTAGTCTTGAAATAAGTGTAAAAGACAGATGGCATTTATTTTAAAGTTGAGCACTTCTAGGCTATTATAGATATACCACAGAATCTGAAATAAAGGATTTTATTCATTATTATTATAATTTTATGAAAACATTTTGCATCTGTAGTATACTTCTGGGTATCTTCGCAAAATCTTCTTTCATCATTACAAATTCTTGAAATACTTTAAGTCTTTGAGGCTCTCTAGTTACGATAGAACTTGATTTATTTGCACCTGAATATGGCAGCATCCAAATGAATGGTGTCTAAGCCTCAGTTATAAAAGATGTAATGTATATAAAGTATTTAACTCAGTGGCCTGGCACATAATGGCCCTAAGTAAATGGTACCTTTAAAGTTAATCCTTAAATAGTACATACAAACATTTCTTAGAACTTTTAAAAACCTTTCTTCTTATGTTTATTAGAAGTGGGTTTGGTGATCAGCTAGCAATTTCTGCCTAGTCACATGAGAAGAACAGAGAGAATAGATGTGGATTTTGTTTAGACATGTTGGGTTTGAGGGACCCATGAAACACCCAGGGACGAATGACCAATAAGCTGTTGGATGTGGAGGTCTGGGGCTAGAGTTGGTAGACAGGAGATAAAACCAGAGGTGCATGTATACTCAGACACCTGGCATGTTGTAAAGGTGTTTTAGGAAGATCAGTCTTATACAAAGGTACAGGATGTTCTGAAGTGCTAGATATCTGCTAGAAAGTGATCACACTTACGTAGGTGTGAAGCGAGAAGACCCTGACGAGGGAGGTAGTAATAAGAACAGAAAGAAAGGAGAACAGAGAGATTCTGCAATTCAAAACTGGGAGGGCTTAGTGATGGATTGACCAGCTAGAGTGAGATAGTATCCAAGATGTTTGTGTCTAAGAGCTTTGGATAATGGAGGGACATTAATAGAAATAGAAGGCGTCACTTGTTATAGGACAGGGGTTAGGTGATAACAATGAAAATCATAGGGGATATTATCATTTGGATTTTGATGCTATAACAGGACATTTAAGTGGAAGTGACCAGTAGGAAATTAGAAGGGGAAGCTGAATTCAAAGGAAAGATTGAAGCTGAGAATACAAGCCACTCTTGGAAAGGTTTGAGTTGAAGCTTTGAGATTGGAGAGGTTTCCTAGGGAGAGTGTGAACCCTTTATTACAAGTTTATAAATAAGAATAGGCAGAATAGGTCATCTTTTCTCCAAATTACAAGCTGTCAACAACTAAAGCACTGCCAGTTCTCATTATTTGTGGTAGTTATGGTCCATAAATTTGCCACAAACTCTGAATTAGCGAATACTAAACCCTTGCTCCTAGGGGAAATACAAGATTCCATTCCTGTGAGCCTCTGATCCACAACATTTTCATCAACCTATCAATACATGGCCTTTTTAAAATGTATGTTTCTGCTTCAATAAACTTTATTTGACATTCATTGTTGATTTGTCAACATAGGTCTCATGGCCAATAGCACTGTAACTCATGCTTGCATGAACCTTTTCTAACACATGTGTTTTCTCTGTGAGGCACGTCACTTTGCACTTTGGAACGCTAGACAGCACTTTAGCACGATGCTTGGAGGCCATTTTAAACAGTGAAATCACCAACAAGACCACAAAACTGTGAAAAACGTGGCACTAAATAGTGCAAAGGACGCTTATTTACAGTATGAGAGCTGAAACAAGAAGGCAGAGTCTCCCCTTGTTAGATCTCAGCTGGGAATGTGCCATTTTTGTTTTCACCACCCTGTACGTATCTGAGAGTGGACTTGAAAGTGCCATGACTACTGAATTTGGGGTTACAGATAAATTTTAGAAAGTAGGCCAATTTGTAAACAGGAAGCTGAGAATAATGAGGATTGACTGTACTTGTATGAGAAAAATATATAGTGACTAACAACTGGCATCGTTTACTACTCGCTTCCAGCTCCAAAACTTGAGGTTTAGGAGACCATTTGCAGACTTACCTGGAGTAAATTTTTTTTTTTTTTTTTTTGAGACAGGATCTCACTCTGTTGTCTGGGCTGGAATACAATGGCATCATCATAGTTCACTGCAACCTCAAATTCCTGGGCTCAAGCAATCCTCCTGCCACAGCCTCCCAAGTAGCGGGGATTAGTACACATCACAATATTTGGCTAATTTTTGCATTTAAAACAATTTTTTTTGTAGATACAGGGTGTCCTTATGTTGCTCAGGCTGGCCTTGAACTCCTGGCCTCGTGCAATCCTCCTACCTTAGCCTCTCAGTGTTGGGATTACAGGCGTGAGCCACAGCGCCTGGCCTTCTACTGCATATGTTTTAAAGGAACAGTGGAAGACAAAACTAAAGAAGTTTTCTTATTAGATCTTATGATTTTTTCCTGTTCAATGGGCATCTTTTAATGTTTTGCATAAACATTAGACCTCACAAGCTCTCTGAAGCTTCTTTTATTCACTTACTGATGTATGGGAGAGTCCACTGACTTGAATGGCTGCCTACCTACAATTCTGCAGTGTGGATGTACAATACTTTATCTAGCTAATCCTGCATTGATGGGCATCCATATTACTCTTATTTTTTACCATTAGAAGCAACATTGCAAAAGCACTGTCTGTCACCTGTATGACACACGAGTGGATTCTTTGGAACGGAGGTACTGGAGTGAAACTGCTCTTGCAAAGAAAAGCTCGAACACGTGTTGCTTCAATGTGCCTGTCTTCCATGCTCCCTCTCTCTGATAATAGCATCTCCATTTTCCTCTGGGGGAAATGGAGATGTAGTAAGACAATACCTCTATTTTCTGTTTTCTGCTGTTCTTTTAAAACAGACGGGCTAGTGCTTTCCCATCCGGAAGAGAACGCTGCATCCCGCCCTCTAGTGGAGAAGGGGCGTCACGCCGCCCAAACCGAGCCACTCAGAGCTCCTCTGGGGAACTTGAACCCTGAAGAGAGACCCCAAAATGGAAAGTGATCCGGAATGATTTGTCCAGAAAGCGGTACCTTAGAGAAGCTGTCCAAGTGTTTCTGCTCTAGAGCTTTCCTGAGTCCTGTTTTTTCTGAGACCTTGTTATTCAGCCTTTTCTTTAATCCAGTGAGCTACTCCATGTTCTTCTAACACTGGTTGGTTGGTTGGTTACTTCATTTAGCCAGAGTGTGTCTCTGTTGTTTGTCAGTGATATAAAGGATATGTTCATTTAATATTTTGACAAATATTTCTATCTGCCCTCCAATCTGAGATAGCAATTTATATTGTACTTCTACCAACAAGTTGGCAGCGTTTGGTTATTTTGTTTTGCTTTTGTTTTGTTTTGATTTGCTTTGTACTAGTCTGTGGTGTTATGAGCAGAATTTCCTTTTATTCAATTTTTCTAATACAATGCCACTTTGATTTCCTGATAGAGAGATGTTGTTGATTTCTAAATAAGTGAAATGCTGTTGACTGTAGTAGATTGGCCAACAAATAACTCATTATTGCCAGAATACAACTGGTTTGTATTAACTTACCAGAGGTATAGCTGATGAAATGATCTAGTGTCAAATTAATTTCATTTATAAGTGAAGTGATTCACAAGGATATGAGCCGCAAGCTTGGACACTAAGGATTCCAAAACTCAGCATTCTTACATGATTACCTTTGTGGCTATACATAATGACATAATCATCAAGTACTACCAAAAAGAATGGTCATACATGGTACAAAAAGTTCCTTTAATGAACATTATGTTCACTGAATTACTTTATTCTTAGGAAAACCAGCTGTGGAAGTAGAACAATTTGCAATCTGAATTGAAGGCATACGAAAATAATTCAGATTATCCAACTGGGCAAATAACATCACTAAAATGATGTCCTGTGTATGTGTGAAGAAAAATGTCCAGGTGATTTGTGGAAAACATGAGCCACAGGTAAAGATGAACTACAGTGAGAACTCAGTCACCCAAAATCGTGCACGCCAGGGAGGGTGTGAAGAAATGAAATCACACCCACAGCCAGCTTCTTAAAACATTTCCTACAGAATGAATAAGGGAAAAGAATGTACACAGTGGACTTTTATCTCCTCTTTCTCTCACGTCCCCTACTTTTGTTGAGATTTTAAAAAAGAATGGAAAATGTTCAGTGGAGATTTATAATGCTGGAACAAGGGCTTTGCAAGGTTTTGCACAAGAGCAAAAGTGTTATTCAGAATATTTGACAGCCAGCATAGTAATATAAATAAATATATAAAGCAAAATTAAATCAATAACCACCATGTGTTTTATAGGCTCTCAGAAAGGAAGATTACTTAAGTAAACAAAGTTGTGTTGTTTTGTTACTAAGATACATGGAAAGGATTGTCTTCCCCGTGCCAAGCAGTGCAACTGACGGCAGGAGACGCTCCAAGTGCCTGGAATAGATAAAGGCTCCTTGCCAAGGCCTCCAGTGTGCTGTCCCACAGAGCTGATAACCGACATCCCCCGCTTTGCAGAGCTCACAGTTACGAGCGGTGTTTGCTGTAGGTTCTTTGTAGATACTATTATTAGTTTATGGACTCTCCCTCGTGTTTTGAGTTTCTTAAGAATTATTTTTAACATGAAAAGGTGTTGAGTTTTATCAGATATTTTTTCTGAGTCAAATGAAAAGACCATATGGTTTTTCTTCTTTAATCTATTAAATGTGGTAGATTATATGTATTCTAATGTTAAACCTCTTCTGAATTCCTTGGATGGAGCAAATCCAGACAAGACACATTTTCTTTTTTTATACTTGGTTGGATTCAGTTTGTTAAGGTTGTATAGGATTTTTGTATCAATATTTATCAGTTAATCATCTGTAACTTTCCTCTGTTATATCATCTTTGTCTAGTTTTGCCATCAAGGCTGAATAAACCTTATAGAATGTGACTATGGGAATACTTCATTTCCTATCTTCTAGAAGATTGGAACAATTTTTCCTTGAGAGATTTTTAGAATTTCCCATAAAGTTGGCTGGGCCTGCTATTTTCTTTGTGGGAAGATGTTAAATTGCTGATTACATTTCTTTAATAATTGTAGGACCATTCAGGTGTTCCCTTTTTTTTTGAGTCAAATTTAGTAAGTTATAATTTTCCAGGAATTCATTTATTTCAAATTTATTAACATAACATTTGATGAACAAATGAAGTAATTATGATAGGTAGATAAAATATATTTAATAATTATTCTCTTTTATTTTTATGTCTGCTGTTTGTGTAGTTGTATCTCTTTTTAAATCCTATTTATTTGTGCCTTCTATCTTTTATTCTTGATAAATATCACTAGATGTTTGGTTATTATATAAATATTTTCTAAGAACCATTTTTTTGTATTAGATTCTCTATCATACCTTTGTGTTCCTTTTCATTAATGTCTGCTGATATCTTTATTATCTCCTTTTTTAAAAGAGTTTATTCTATTATTCTTCTAATTTCTTAATGAGAAATCAGCTTATTTTCAATCTTATATTTTTAAATACAGTATTTAAGTATTAAGTATTTAAGGCTATATATTTCCCTCATGTATAAATATTAAGGCTATATATTTTCCAATTTTGCAACATCCTACAAGTTATAATATGTACAAGATTTATTGTTCAGTCTCACCATTAAAAAATTTCTATCAGGATTTTGTCTATGTTTAATTGTAAAAATATATTTTAAATTTTGATTTTGATTTCTGACTTTATTGTACTATATAGTAAGAGAACATAATAAATATATTAATATAATTTTTTGAAATTTGATATGGCTTCTTCATGGCATAATTCATGGTCAATATTTGCGAATGTTCCATGTGTGCTTGAGAATAATGTGTATTCTACATATGATCATTAAACCAACCTTCATAATTGTCTGGTTCAAATTTTCTACAGCTTTACTATTTTTGATGGTATCCAATTTTTTATCTATCCATAATTGAAGAAAAAATGTTGCAATCCTCCCCTTTTCTTGATTTAGAAGTTATACACTTTATATTTTTTAGCTGTTACTCTTAAAATTTTGCCATATTTAACAACAACAACAACAAAAACCTCAAGTTAATTTCCCAGCTTCCCTCCTGAACAAGTTCATTCGAACACTTTCAACAAAGCTTACCCCAACTGGATTCCACTCTTTTGTGATCTAGTATTTTGATTGTCTTGTTTTTTAACTCTATGATTAGACATTTTAAAAATTATACAATCTATGTTTGTTTAAATTTACTAATATATTTCCAAATTACTTGGCTCACCATTTCTCCTTGTGATACTTATCACAATCCCAAAAGCCCTAATACTGAATGTTGAAATCCTGAAAGATCAAAATCTCTAAAGTTGAAATCCCTGAAGTCTAAAATTTCTAAGATCTAATTGAATCCCCAAACCATAATGACAGATTTGGAGTTTGGTGTGATTGGGGCTTCTAAAAGGGAACTTCACGGTGTTACCAATAAAGCTGATCTTTTCCTTTCAGCCCAATGCATTTATCAGAAAATTCAGATGAGTGGATTGACCACCCAAAATGGCAATGACAAAAACTTTAGCTTAAAAATGCATTATTTGTCTACATTAGCATTCCTTCCAGCTGATGAAATTCCAGGAACTTTTAATGAATTAAAGCCACATTTGCCTGAAGATGCCAGTGAAGTTACTGACTGGTTTGAAAATAATTTTGTGCCCAGTAGGATAAGAGACACTTAAGTAACAGTGTTGCTGTTCAATACTGGCATTGTTTTTTTGCCAAATTTGTAGTCTGTATATGAGTGCATGTGGAATGGACTTTTGTGTACCCAAAGCAATGTAAAAACATGGCACAGAAGATGGGAAGAAAATTTAATAGGGAATACTCATGTTAGTGTATATCAAATCTAAGAATTTCAAAAAGAGCAGTGACACATAGAAAATGAATGTGAATTATTGTCCAAGGAGAGCCATGCCTTAAAAGAAACAACAGGCAGCTGTTCATCACAATATGAAACTTCAAACTATGGGTAATGATTGTGAAAATTGGCCACTTCCATGTGATTGCCCATAATCTATCCCTGTGTACCCTTTTTCATATGTCAAATTTTCTTTTAGTTTTTTTGTTTTTGTTTTCTTCACTATTTTAAATTGTCAACATTTTTTATGATTTCTATGTTATGTATTTCATATTTACATCATTTCTAATACTGGAGGTATAAATTGGGCAAAGATTTCTTAGAGAATTCTAAATCATGTTTACATTTTTTGCAAGTTTGACTCCACAAAAGTGCATTATCACATTGACTTTGTGTATAAGCATTGTGCGAGTACATAAAAATGTTGAAATTTCCATAAATGAAGAGATGTCCTTTATGTATGTCTACATTTGTGAAAGATAAAATTTCTTGAGCTCTTGGCTCTTTGATAGTCTGTATATGTGGTGGTGACCCTTCTCCTTGCATCCCAGACCTTTATTCTGAGGTCAGCCATTTCTTCCTGAAGAACTTTTAGAAATTCCTTTAGTAAGTGGTCTCAAATTTTATTTATCTGATTTTTGAAACATAATTTTTCTTGGTACACAATTCTAGGTTTGCAGTTATTGTTTCTCCAAGTCTGAAGATATTATTCTACCATCTTCAGCTTCTTAGTGTTGAGAAGTCTGCTGTTTCACATGAGTCCTTTTGTAGGTGTTCTCTCATTGCTTTCTAGCTGCTTTGAATCATCTATTTACATTCTGTCTCCTTAACATCACTACAATGTGCTTGCTATATCAGTGGATTTATATCTTTCCTCAGTTCTTAGCCATTATCTTTGATTGACTCTTCTTTATTCTATTGATTCTTTTCCTCTAAGACTTTTATTGGACATATGCTAGACCTTTTAATTCTATTTTTTCATATCTTTTACTTCATTATATTTTCCATCTCGTTGTATCTCTGTGCTGCAATCTTGGTAATTTCTTCTGACTAGTCTTCTAGTTCCCTAATTTTTTCTTTTGCCATGTCTAATCTACTATTTAACCATTCACTGAGCTTTTATTATCCGTGGCAATATTTGTTCATTTATAAGTTATATTTGGCTATTGCTCAAACCATTATTTATTTTTATTCTATTTTTATTTCTTTAAACATATCACATAGTATTTTATATTTTGAATCTAATAAATTGTAATATCTGAAGAAGTTAGGATCCCTATCTTGTTTCTGCTGACTCTTCTCGTGGTGTCCGATTCTTCAAGGGTTTATGATCTTCTATTTTACAGATCTTAAACTGTAGAAATCCCGAGGGCCTGCTTTGGGGATGCTTTCCTCCAGAGAGGTTTTGTGTTTGCTTCTGCCAGGGACGGAGATGGCCCTGACCTAGGGTGCTCAGGAGTCCAGACTGCTGCTGGGGTCAGGGGCACTCAGAGTCGGTGTCTGCCTGCGGGGAGCCCAAAGGTCCCCTAGAGCCCCACCACACCTGTGCCGCATTCTGCTAGTTTTGCCTCCACAGTATGTTGTGTAGGAATTTCTGTCTCTGAAGCCCTCATCCAGGCCCTTGTGACCTCTCATTGGAATTATTTTAATGGCCTCCTAACTGCTTCTTTGCCTTCATTCTTTCCTCCCACCAATCAGTTCTACAGCCGGCTGCTGCGTTCATCTTTCTAAAACACAAGCTTGATTTTTGTGGTGTAAATCCATTAGATGGTGTAGCTTGTCACTTTTTTGAAAATGCTGCTGCTAGGTTGTCTCACTTATATGTCACTGCCCCTTTGTGAGGGACAGTTGATACACGTTTCCATTCGCTGGCTTCCTCTTTGCTTTGAAATCCTGACTCTCTCCTGCCTTTAAACTTTCCTATTATTAGCTCTCTCCTATCTTTAAACCTTATCACCTGCTCACTTCTTTCATGCAGCCTACAGTCCAACCAGCCTGCACCCCTCAAATCTCTCTTTTCCTTCCTTGCCTTGGTCTCTCTGGGGAGAGTATCCTGTCACGTCTGTTTCCCCCGGCGTTGTCTTTCCTTCAAGGTCTGGCTCCAACACTGACATCTTTCACTGGCTTCCCCAGCTGGACATGTTCTGTCTCTCCTGTGCACTAAGCAGTGTGTGTCTATAAACATGTATGTACATTTATTCGTATGCGTATGTGTGTATACACACACTCACATGCACATACACACACATGTCCTTCCTTTAGGAATCCATGGCTTTGTCTTATAGCTCCTTTTCTTTTCTTTCTTCTTCTTTTTTTTTTTTTTTTTGCCTCTTTCCTGCTACTCTGAAGCTGCTTTTTTAGTTTAAGTTCTATTTCATCTTTGTATTTGATCCTTTGTTCTGTTCACTCCAACCTCATTTTTAATAATTTTTCAACTTAAAGAGGAAATGCATTTGCACAACCCCAAGTATTGTGAAGGGAGCACAGGGGAGACTGGGGTGGTCACAGCTGCATAATTCTCCCCAGTTGCTTCCTGAAGGGTTCCTAGATGGAGGGTGGGACTTAATTCTGAAGAGCTAAAAAACTAGAAAGGGTTTCTACTGATCTGTGTTTCATATGGAAAAGAGGAAAACCCAGACAAAGCAGAGACATGACGTTGAATGACTGGTGGGGAGCCCACGGCTTGTGGCAGCGTCCATGTCAGAGGGCATCAGAACAAGGCAGGGATAAATAGTGCGGGGAGTGGGGCCCTCGGTCCCTCTGTTGGGAGCCACACTTGCCACAGAGATTCTCCTGCCTGGTTGGAGAAGTCCTGGTGAGTCTCTCCTCTTGGACAACCTATACCAGTCATCTGATTTGGAAGCTCAGTAGTTTCGAGTTTCCTTGTCATGTGTGATACTTTGCATATTTTCTTTCTTGCCAACAGTTAAAACAAGATATCTTACTTTTTAAAACACATTCCAATGACATTTTCATGTTAGGCTCTGCAAACCAAGCTAACGACTGCAGAAAAAGAATGTCCACATTGATTAATCACCTCGTTTAGGAGTTTGCTAACTACTGCAATATGCAAAGTGACCATGTTGCTACATTTAGACCTATTTGATATGAAGTTCATTAAGCCACACAGAGAAGTCACACTTTCAAGTGAATGATACATGATTGAGCCTTGTGCTTTGTTGATAGGAAAATATCTTTTGTCTGGAAAACAATTCCAGACACTGCTTCCTCTTGTTTGTGCCTTCAGTGCTTATCACAGTGCTTGACACATAGTAGGTATTCCATGAACGATTATTGAAAAACTCAATGAAGTTATTTAAATATGATTTTTTAAGACCTGGTTTGTTCTCTGCATTCTTGGTAGTTCTATGAGATACATGGGAGTCTGCAATCAAGTCAGCAACGAGAACACGTATTATAAACCATGTGATATGAAACATAAGTGCTAAAGGAATTTGGAGGGAAAAATATTTTGAG